GTAAAAATTTTTCTTTTTAAATCTAAGATTTGAAAATGTAATATAAGATTACTCATAAGTTTGTCTACCTTTATCAATAAAAAAATCTCTACCGGAATGTCAAATTAAATTTTTATGAGCGTTTGAAATTCAAATTTTTACAACATTGGATGTTCACTCGATTTCTCATGTAGCGATTTCCTTATTTGTTGTAATTCAAAAACGAATAACTGTAGATACATGAAAATTTCACTGAATGTTTATATTATCATTTCCTATACACCATACAATTTTGAAAATATTTTGACTCTTTTTGAGCTGTTTATGGACATTTACAGCTTTCAATTTTTTTTTAGTTTTTTTTTCTATAAATATCAATAAAGTTTTATCTGTTGGGCCAAAAGTGTAAAAATTTAATACAAGGCTCCTGATATATTGTTACAATATCAGTTGAAAAATATTAAAAATATATAGGCACGATTTTTTTTTATAAGCATTTAAAGTTGGAATTTTGACCAAATTTATCAAAATCTCGAAAATTATCAATCGTTGGAATTAAAAAATTATAAAATGTTCAGTTTTATAACTAAGAGTTGAAAATTTAAAACAAAGATTCTCTTAAATAATTCATACTGTAACCAAAAATCTAAAAAATATATAAACACACTTATTTTTTACAGACATTTTAATTTCAAATTTAGACAAAATTTCATATTTAAACCAAGAATTACGATTTTAGTTATTTCGTTTTGATTGAATAATATTATTCGTGGGTACTTGAAACTTCTAAAGTGTTACTATATAATATATCTATGATAGTATCACGGTTTTGTTGATGTATACGCGTTATAGTATCTAATTGGATATGTGATATGATTAGTTTGTAATTTATTATAGGTACCTATTATAGGTCAATTTTGTTTAATACATAGATACTGTATATAATATGTATTATACATAGACCTGGACAATACCGTCACCGCTAAGAATCGTTTTCTTATACAATGATATTATATCATTGAATTCAAAATTAATACCATCCATTATACAGTACCCCACTTGTAACCTACTGTACAGCAGAGCGACACCCACTTGCCCACCTTTTTTTTAATTGAACGAACAATGTAAATGGAAAGAGGGCAAGATCATTTTATACTAGCGCTATTTTTTATATACTATATATTTATATAATATAATTTCTTATGGTGGAGTTTATTATAAAAAGCAAGATTTAGGTTTGAATTGATCGTAGATTAAAAATTAAATATATTGCAATTATTATGAATTTATGCACTTTATTTAAATATACAATAGTTAAAGCCATTAAACCTATACATATTATATATAGGATATATTGAACGATATTATAAAGTATGTTTTATTATATTGTCTGATTTTCAATCAGGACATGAACATATTAAAATAATAAAATAACTATTATTTTCCTAAATCTATTTCGTGTTAATTGTTAAATTAATTAAAGTAAGCCAAATATACGATTTGTATTTAGGTGCGTTATTCCTGAAGCGTCTTTAGACTCTAGATAAGGATGGCCTGCATGCATTCATAACTCCTTGTCCCAACAAACTTCAAACAGGACGCTTTTTGTCCCGTTATCTCCATATTATAAATGCGTAAAATAAAAAACCTGTACACGAAACAAATTATAAGTACAGAAAATATTATTTCAGATTTAAATGAATATGATATTATTTATGTTATTGTTGAAACCAAAGTTTAACAATAAGAATGAAAAATTGTCGTATTGGCGTATTCCACAATTATAAACCCTACACCCTATACCGTCACTCATTCCAACAACACACCTATCTAACAGGCTAACAGTATCTCCGAAACATCTTTAAAAACAACTTCCTAGTTCCTATAAAAATTATCAAATAATTTTTTTAGAGCCAAGCCAAAATTGTTTGTCCGTTTTTTATATAAATGTGGACCCAACTATTAGACGTTTATAGACGCAGCGGTCTGGTTATATCCGCTGTCCGCTGAGTCTTAACGCTGTAGGGAAAACGCACCTTTAGCAACTTTTTAGTAAATATTAATTGTAATTTACTTTAACTAATACTCTGATTGGCATTATTATCGATGGTTAAAATAACATACAATTCAGCCAGGTATATGTCATAGTATGTTTTCAATAAAATTCGAAAGCATTTTAAGTCAATACATTTTCATACGTAGGTATATAGTTAAATAGAAAAATAATATGGCTATGTAGCAGAGTATTTACTATTTTAAAATACATAGGTTCTGAAATCTGAATACACTATAATATATACTGCAGCAATCAGTTATAATTGTCTAATGCTACAACCTGCACACTTAAGTGCCAAATAGCTTATGTCAATACATACAGTTTTTATTTAATATACATATTAATTATTATAAGACTATACTTGTATAATAAATAATTAATTTGGCTTTGATCTTTGTAGCTATAATATCATGTTATAATACGATCCCTTATTAGTTATTACATCTTCGTAAGTTGGTACACAATACAGTAAAAGGATGTATAATACATAGATTATAGATAATAATCTAATTACGTATATAGGCAAGTATTATTCACTAAAATATGTACGATGTACCTATTTCTCTAAGAATTCAGAATAACGACAGTTCCAAACATTATGTACACTGAATTTGTTGTATAATGTACAACCAGATATACATATTATTTATTTCTAGTTGCTCTAAACTGAAGGTGTCTGTACTGTATATTATTATTGTACATTTGTACCCAGATAAGTTAACAATTTTGGTAGTTTTTTGATAGACACAATTTTAGGAGTACAAATTATAAGATAGTATTATAACTAGGGCCTAGGAGTGATTCGATTTCAATATTTACCGATTTCTTATGTATAGAATCGAAAGAATAGGTATCCATAATCCGGATTGGTATTTTATATAGGTACCTAATGTAATTTATATCAATTGGTATTTTTAATTGAACAGTTTCCATTAATCAATAGGTATTTGATTTTTTGCAATTATTTCCTTATTAGGTATATGAAATATATTCCTAATTGTATCCATCAATTCTCCTTTCTAAAACAATTATTGATAATCATTAATCAATAACAAAATAGTTGTCAGTTTCAATTGTTTTCACGGAGGCGATAATCGAAAGTAGTTTTATCGATTCCGATTCTTTTCAGAATCGATATTTACTCCTTATCGGATAAGGATAATCCCGATTAGTATTGAAAAAGATAATCGAATATTTATCGATTTCCATTTGATTTAACCAGATTCCGAATCCTTTGAAGATATAAATTCCTTTTTACCCACAAAAATCTATGGAATCGGGAATTGAAGAATCGATCCGACCGATCTAAATTATTATGCATTATAATAGAACTAAATAATTTATTATTGAGTTATCATCAATTTTTAGTTTTGTAACAAATCGCATAACTAAAATATAGGTACTTTATTCAGAGACTATCGAATGGTTGAGGCCTATCGCAGAATTGAAATCTAATTAGAATTTTGAACTATTCATTGGTCTTTACTGACCTAACGCCTTCAATAGTTCAATTAAAACAAAATACCTAATAAATAAATTACCCTTTTTTTTTTTTTTTTATTGTGGTATCGAGGACTGAAGGAGGAACTATGGTGCCAGTACTTCTCCTCAAATAAATAAATTACCTACATAACGTCTAGCGAAGAAGCCAAGTTCATATAATATATTATGTATATTATATAGCATTAAAACAATTGATTAATATAATTTATAACGAACATTAAATAGTCATAATTTGACTATTTCATTACCTACATCAAAGTTCAAATATATAGTAAATATATATATAATATTACATACGTTTACATAATATAAACAAATGAATACCCTCGCGCATGCGTGTTGGTAAACAAGTTAGCACACGGTGATTCAACTTCGATATTGAATATACCCAAATGCGTATACGACAAACATAATATGTTATGAACTATGAAATAACCTAAAAATATGATTATTCTAATTTCAACACCATAATATAATACTGACAGGGGGAGAAAATCGAAACAGTGACACCTCTATATGGTATAGTTAAACTGCTATAACATTAAGGGTAAATAGGTAGTTTCTTTTGTGGTCGGATAAACGGTCGTTTATTTACTTGATCGTAGTAAATGCCAAAATGGTCGAAATTCCCGGTTGTATCGCACCAGTTAACGACGATTTATTTAGGTACATAATAATTTATTATTGGTGCAGGTCTTCGTTCGATGTATATTATGATGGGTACGACGAAAAAATACCCATTTAACATTGAAACGGTGTTACTGAACCGTGAAAAACTCGTCGGTCTGGGTCATCATGTGCGTAATAGGGGTAGGGGAGGGAGGAAGAAACAACAACAAAATGAATCGAGTGAATGTCCGTATTGTTTTTACTTTTTGGTTTAGTTCATCTCTTGACAAAAAGCGCGGGGGGTTAGTCATCAAGTACGTTGTACAATGATAATATTATTTGTCGTCCTCACGTTGCAGCATTGTTGCTAGGTTGGCGGCGGCAGGGCGCGTCTCACTAGTCACTGGGTCACCACGAAACGCTCAATGGCGGGAGGTTGGGGCGAATTACGCGCATGGTTGGCAGCAATGTATCTCGGTGAGGCATGTGTTTCTTCCCACCTTTCTACCGTCGAAAACAATAACACTGATTTGGCGAATGTTCACGTTTGGAGTCTATCCGTTTTTTTCTCCTCGCATCGTCCTTAAAGATTTCGTATGGTTTATTGGTTTTCACAGCTATCGTTGCCACCACCGCCGATTTTCAGACTTATCGGATTACCGTCGACCGAACACTTAAGACACTGCGCGACTAACCCTCTAAGGACCGGGCGTCGATCTTATGAAATTGAAACGACATTCCTACTGACTACGTGCAAAAGGACATTTTAGTAGAAGTAGTAACAATAATATTAATATAATTAATAATTATTAGGTGTTAAATATACCCATATACAATAAAATACGAAATCACTATGGCGGATCCGATAGAGTCGAAAAACATTGCAGACGACGTGATCGTCCCAGGGGCTCCTGGTGATAAGAGGAAGATGTCATCAGAAATGAGTCCAGAACAGACTAACGTCATAAAAAAACTAAAAGAGAGTAAAGCGCAACCGGGTAAGTGATCGATGAATACATACTAATAATCCACGGAACGTTCATTTTCTAGCGTGGACTAAATGTACATTTATATTTTCAGACACGTTGTGCCAGTGTCCCCAAAAATGTTCAGAACGTGTACCGCAGCGATCCAAGGATGAGCTGTTTAAAATGTTTGTAGAAATGGACAGCGAAGATGTGCAAAATAAATTTTTACAGAAGTTTATTGAAGCTCGACCTGTTGCCAATCGCTTGTTTAGTAAAGAGACCACAGCTAATGGTAAACTATTAAGAAGAATTCATTGCAAGTACAGAATACCTTCTTTCGTATCCGATGATTTTATGTCAAGTGAGTCTTACAACTGTGTTCTTGTAAAAAATATATTTTATGAATAATTTGGTGTCTTTAAATAAATATAAAACGTAAAGGTATTGAGTAAATTGGTTGTTTAACTTGGATACTTAGATCTAACACATTAAATTTATATCAACTGAGCCGATTTCTTTATTGAATAAATAAATAAATTTAAAAATATTACCTATCATTTATTTTTCAATTATAAACTTAATTGGTTATTCAATAGTTAATACATAATGAGACAATTCTATAAAATCTATAGATTGAACACCAATTATAAGGCCACCTAGTTAAAACTTTATAGGGTACTTTTCTGTTATCCCTACTACCGCGAGTCTCAATTCTGTTATCTCGACTACCACGCCGGTGCCGAGACTACCGCGACTTCTCAATTCTGTTATCTCGACTACTATAGTACTATCCAAATATTTCCGTATTTTAATACATAATACACATGAATTGCCATCGTTTATTATCAGTAATCATATAAATTATCTTAAATCGTGTATATACCATAAAATTATCACAAAACATCAAATTACAAATTCTAAAATTATCACAGCGTCAAAATACAAAATAAAATTATTACAGTTACAGTTGCAAAAGTCTTAAATGTATTATAATATAAAAAAGTCATCAAAATTATCAAAAAAACGTCAAAATACGATATTAAATAAATATAAATAAATTATCACAGTTACAGTTGCAAAAGTCTTAAATGTATTATAATATAAAAAAGTCATCAAAATTATCAAAAAAACGTCAAAACACGATATTAAATAAATATAAATAAATTATCACAGTTACAGTTGCATAAGTCTAAAATTCTATTTTTGGTGACCAATTTTCGGAAATATTTTTTAATATGTATTCGAATGGTTCTCCTTGTCCTCCAATGTTTTGTCTCCAGATAAACTCCGCCAGATAAGAATCCAAATGATGGCGTCTGGTTCCCCTATGTTTTTTATTTCTCCATTTAGCGGAGCCCCAAAGACGTTCAATATGCTGAGTATGGATCCCAGTAACTGGGTCTACAAAGTTATTAGTATGATTGACTGTACCATGCGTGTATCCAGCTCTGGTTAATTCGTCTGTATCATATCCACGCCAACAGTCAGAATATATGGTTGTACCTACCTTTATATATTGTTTTATCGCAGTTGAAAGTGTTTCCTTGGTGCGATTAGGAACTTGGATTAGAAATGACTCCTTGGTTTCGCGACAAATTCCTCCAAATATCCACTGTTGTGGTAATATTCTTCCAGCATTATTCTTTCTTTTTGAAAACATACTTTCGTCGATTTCAACAATTTTTCCCGGTCCTCCGATTCGTGTTTGTTGATTTCGACTAATTGTTATAGTGCACACCTCACGCATGTAATTATTCCAATCAACTACCGTACAATGATTCATTTCCAAATGTCTTTCACAAAAATTAACGGAGGTTAATTCTGCACTCCAACAATATATAAACCGGAGTATGGTTAAAAAAGGCAGACGACTATTTTCAAACCAATTACCCATACGCATATTGGTTTTATGCTGACACGTTTTGACGTTGCATTTCCAAAAAATTTCATTTTTTCCGATGTACAGTTTTTTTTTATGACCGTTTTTGCAATCACGGTGTGTTGGAAGTAAACCCTTTTCTTGAAAAAATTCGAGAGCATCTTTTTCGCTGTTTGGTAAATTCCATAGATTCATAATTATTTTAAAATTTATAAATACAACGACGGATTATTTTAAAATAATACAACTGTCAGCAACGACGGCAATCGAGCGAACTGTAGTCCGGTAATCGTGACACCGGCGTGGTAGTCGAGATAACAGAATTGAGAATCGCGGTAGTCGCGACATCGAGCGGTAGTAGGGATAACAGAAAAGTACCCTTTATAGATTGATTATTAAACTACTTTTTCGGTGTTTGTTGAACCCCTTTGCTCTTGTATAAATAAATTATTTATAACAAATAATTGACATTACCTACCTATTTTTCTTTTTTTTTTTTGTAATTATCAAATGTTAAAATAAAACCCAATAACTCATTGCTATTTTCTAGTAAAATGTGAAAAACTAATGTAATGTATCTATCTAAATATATTTTACAGATATAAATTGCGACTCTGACAAAGATGAAGAATCAGACTTTGATGAAACATCTTCGGTGGCGTCTTTGGATTCCAAAGAAGAGAATGACAAGTCTTTAGAAAGTGATTCAACAGAAACATCAAGAAAGTCATTAAGTCGTTACAATTGTGTTGATGTTTGTCAAAAAGCATTTCTCAATCTGTTTGGTTTATCAGATAAACGTTTAAAAACAGTTAGAGAATTATTGATAATTAAAGCACGTCAAAAGCACATGAAACGTATGATGGAAAAAGAAGAAAACCAAATAGAAGTATCTTTAGCTAAGGATCTTGCACAGGGTTGTTTGCCATTGATGGCACTTTTTAATAAAGAAGATAGTAAGAAAGTATCTGATCAGTTGATGACTGCCATCAGCAATGATATAAATTTAGTAAATAACTTCTTTTGCAATCAGCTATGGAAACCAGAATACATTAACCAAAAGCCATCTGAATGAGTATAAATTATTTTTAATGCATATTTTGATGATTTTTTAATGTAATTAATTGGATTAGTATTTTGTTTAAATCAATTGTCACATACTACTTTATTACAAGTCCAATTCAATTTTGTTCTGAATTCAGGGGATTATACTTAATGTAAATTTTTATATTATTGTCAGTTGACTGGGGTTGTTAAAATATGGATATTGTCTAACTATTCTATGTTTTTAATTACTTATTTTGGTTTAATACCTAATAAAATAAGTAATGTTTTAAGACCTGATAATATATTTTTTTAAAGTTAAATGATTATATATTATTATAATCTATTATCTATGTACAAGAACAAATAAACAGAAATACAAAATTTTAAGTTTTAAGTTTATTTTAATGTTTTATTATAATTATTATTATTATATATATATATATTTTTTTATCTTATAAAAAACATAGAATTATGATTGGCTCTTGGTTTATTTTATTTTTATTGTAGTCTTAAAATGTTAACAAAAAATAAACCTTATTAAATAGTACAAAGCAAAGTAAATAGGAGACAAAACACTTTTTGTTAAACTTAATATTTTATTATGGTGTCTAAATTATGTTATATATTAACGGCAGATGTATTAAACATTTGAATGAATAAAGGATGATAAATTCGTTCTGTACATTTAGAAATTAAGTAAGAATTTAATATTCCTTTTTTAGATTTTAAGATTAGTAGCCTCCATTAATTTTGTATGATTTAATTTCGTCCGATTATGCTTATATTATTATTGTCAGTATTTATTTTAGTTTTTTTTTTTTTATTGTAAACCCCTAATTATGCATTTGTATGACTTAATTTTTGTTTTGTTTTTTATATTGGTACTATAATTATTCTAAGGGAGATGATACCAAATCCACATTGATTATGATGGTCTTAATTATACCAAACACCCAACAACTATTAATTGTCAAATGGGTTACATCATTTTATATATTATATTATATACATTTTTACTTTTTAACTATATTTTTACTAAAACGACTATTATTTTTACATGTAAACTATAATTCAAGATCCAAATTAGATTATAAGATGTGTTAATTACTTGTGACGAATTTATAATGGTAATACATAAAAACTATATTTGATAAAATATTTCACAAAATAATTTTGTATTTTCTAGACCAATGCTATTGTAAATGTAATGTTTTTATGAATTTAAATTTGTTTAAAACATATTTTTCAAAGATATATTTTTTCACAAGTAATAATATAATTAAATGGAATATATTTTATAAGACTCCAAACCAAATAAATGAACCATATTAAACTGATATTTGTGTTTTTTATATTAATATGACATAATATAGTGAAACTTTTCTGGTAGTATACATTTAATGATGAGGAGAATAGATTCTGAAAGTCAGTAATAATATACCTACTACAGAGCATTTTATGAAAATTTAAAATCAAAACCATGTGATCAGTTTTCATAAAATAATAAATAAATAAGCAATAGGCGGTAAATTGTAAATATAAATCATACATCTGTTTAATATGATTAATGCACATTTTTAATTGGATATTATTATATTAAGGACGACAAAAAGTAAATAAATAAATAATTTGAATTTATTAATTTAGTACATTGTTACATTGAATAAATCTATATGTTGATAAACTAGAGCAGTTGTTGATAGATTGTAGGTACATACAATTAATTTGATTTTAATGCAAATTGCAATAAATTGTCTATAAGAGTTTTCAAATGTTATATTTGTTTTTAGGAAAACGTATTCAACAAAATATATTTTATTGTTCTTTAAAACTAATTAGGTATACAGGTACATATTATTTATGTATAGGTAAATTAATATTATAAACACGATAAAGTTATTAACTAATAATAATTTACTAGGCGAGTTTCAAAACACTTCTGTATTCATCGGAAGTTTATCAATATACAATTATAAATTAAGTTTTCTATATGAAATATTCCACAAAGTAGAACTATACAATCAAATACAAATAACCTCATAATTAACTACTGTAAGTCTGTAAATAAAATCTTAAAAATGTATATTACAAAATCAAATGCCCCCTCAAGTAGCCAAACCTCGGGCATGTCAAAGATGTAATTTCAACAAAAATAGTCCATTAGGTAACTATTGACTAAAGACATTTTATCCATAATATGTAATATGTATACATAGTACATTCAGTGTTGTTATAACATTTTTGTTTACTTTTAAATATTCTTTTACCTAATTCTAATTTATATAAATTATAATATTTTACCTAACATCAATACTTTGTATTTATTCATTATATAGATACAAGTAAGATAAAAATTTGTCAATAATTCATATTTATGTCTTGACATGTTAGTTTAAATTGTTTTGCACATAATCGCATGCATATTTGTATACACCTAATTGATAAAGTAATAATGAAGTATCTAAATAAATGTACTCACCATTTCCAATTTTTGAAAGTATTGTCTAAAAAATGTTAAAGGCCTTTCTGGTTTTACAATACAAAGCTGGACAATGCAGTCTTTTAAAATTTGTTGTATGTTATGTCGTTGAACGTATAACTCACAGTCATCAACATTTAAATCTTCGTATACGTTTGATGCCATCTTGAGATTGTTTATTTTGTATGATCACAGAATTTAAACGAACATTCATTAACAGTTTGATTGATGGGGTCTGTATTCCGTATACAGTTTTTAAGTCGATGGTAGCATTTGAATAATATATTACTTGAGAAATTATGTCCAATAGAAACTTTCAAATGATAAAATTAAATGTATTTTAACATAGGTACCTCTACACTTAATAATATTAATTTTAGTATGAGCTAATTTATTTTTATTTTTTATTATTACTTAGAGAAATAAAATAAGGAAATCAATATGAAAATTAGCTAACAGAACAGAATATTATTTAGTATTTGTAACCGATTGACATTTATTTATTTAGTTTAGGAAAGGGTTATCAAATAATTCATATAACCCCGTGATAACGAGTGCGTTGAGCTGATAATGATGAGTGACTTCAGATAACATTATCTGCAACCACGGTTACGCCATTAATTATTAATCCATCCCATGATGGTTGCGCCCATGGCCCATAGACCTATTAACCATAACCATAACAATTAACAACCCAAGCGCATTAACGCGGTGGCCGGTGAGGTTATGCGATAGGTTTTTTTGTACTCCTTGACGAAACAGTATCGTGTGATATAGGTATAAACATCAAACATGTGATGGTTTTGTCAGTTGTTGAGCTTTGCTGTATTGGTGTCCGCCGTCCGGTACTCGGTAGGCATTTGTTATTTTGTTGTTTAATGTTTCTGTCGGAACGTGTTTAATGCTTAAATGCTATAATTGTCAAGAGCCAGTCGCCGGTCGTGTGCACCATTATTGATTCCGTAATAATTTTCGCACGTTACCGTTTTTATTTTTATTATTCAATGGTTCTCCATTGCCTGTGCACTCGGTGAACGTAGGTTACTTACATACGTTGCAGAAGTTTCGGTGCCAACCAGTTTACTTGGGTATGTTTGTATTGTTTCGTTTTAGCAGCATTATTAATGTAATACAATTCATCCACTTAATGTAGCAAATGTTGACTGAACAGGACCATAGTTTAATTAAAACATGTCGGTGACGTGATACTATGTGGTTTGTCGACAGTGATAACTGTTGGACATTGGTAGTATAATTGTGCTGTCGTTGTTCATGTCGGATGTAAAAACCGAGAAGATTACACCATGACTGGGTTCACCGAAGGAAGTCTGAACAGTAGACTGAAAGACCTGAACTCTTCCCAGCAGAGCATACAGACACTATCCCTTTGGTTGATTCACCATAGGAAATATGCTCACACTGTCGTCAAGATTTGGTCTAGAGAAATATTGGCAGGTAAAAAGCATCAGTAGATTTAACTATTGTTAGATGTTGCCGTCAACACATTGTTACACGGTATCTTTAATTTGTTTAGTAACATAGGTAATACATATTTCATTTATTATTGTAGGTAAAGAGATTCTCCTGCTTAGTTTATTTTATTTTGTGTTTTAGATGCTCATTGCTGTTTATTATTTCCTGTGCAAAAATTATGTTATAATAATTTCAAATATGTATCATATTTGTATTTGATATAAATACGACTCATAACTTTGATTACAACATTTTCTTTGAAAGAACTGTATCTACAACATTTAAAAATTTTAAATAAAAAAATACTTAGGACTACTTTTTATGTGTATTCACATGTTATTTAATTGTATGTAAAAACAATTGATAGGTACTACTTATTTTCTAAAAAAACATGTATAAAATAGTTTTTAGGCAATATCTACTTGTAATGGGTACCTGTTAATTGAAAAATATTATATTTTAAGTACATTTGCATTATACCGCATTATACCTATTCCGTTGTAAAAAATATTATTACCTAACATCATTATTTCTTAATTAATAAAGAGCTTTTATTCATTTCTTAGATTGGATTGTTCATTTTAAAGAATGATAATTATTATACACTTACCTGTTACACGCCCAGTTATTATTAATTTGTATTGATACATTTTGAAAATATAAGTACTTACTACTTATATTACTAGTACTTTTAGTACTTATTGAAACCAACCTAACCAATATTAACTAATGTTGATAACAGTGGCGCCGAAGTTTTTAAAATGTGGTCGGGCAATTTTAAAACTTCCAGGCCTCAATATCTTAATTATTTAATATAGAGGTACCCTAATATAAATTTATTCATAAATCACGGTTTAAATTTACTCATGCTTATAATAAAGTTATGATGTAAATTAAATATGGCCGGCCGGCCACATTTTTCAAAAAAGAGGTCGGGCCACGGCCCGACGTCAGCATGGACTTCGGCGCCACTGGTTGATAATATTGTTTTTTTTCTAAATACAAAAATTACAGTTTAAGATTAGGTACAAGAATCTATTTCTCAACCTCTTCTTGAATTTGTTATTTCATAAAAATGTTCCGAAACTCAGTGCATCAAAAATGGTTATTTAAGTTTTTGATATAATTGAAAAATAAAAAAATAAATATTTTTGTTTGATACGTTTACCTAGTTTATCTAGTTGTTATTAATATAATAAATTTGTCAGGTGTAAGAATAATCTTGAATATATTAATATTTGATGAACATAAACCATATTAATAATTTAATATTAATAGTAGATAATAATTATTCTATATATTATATTCAATAGTAAAATATTTTTTTTCATTATTAGATTTCTCAATCTAGGTATTACACTATTACTTCTGATAATACATATAATATCAAATTTAAAAAATAGATACCGAAGTAGGTAGTTTTTTATTCCATAAATATATTCCTAGAATATTATTCTGTTTTATATTACCTACATAAATATGTTTTATGAAATTCTGATGTTTACAATTATTATGGTTGATGACTTGCAATGTCTATTCGAGATTATAAGCTATAATATTTATTTTTCTGAAAATAAACTTAGTCTATACCTAACATATAGTATGTTTGATATTAACATTTGTATGCATTATTATTTAAGTTAAAAATACAATAATTGAAAATTATAGGTACCACATATATAATATATACCTATAGTTAATCAATTAAAATTTCGGGTAGAGCGTTTATTTTTTTTTTTTGTATTTCGTATTGTAAGTTTAAGTGTAGAAAATTCCTAAATATTTTAGTATTTGTATATTCTAAATTCTATACTCAAATGTACAAAATAGCATTCATAAATCATACAATAAAGGGAAATAAAACCTTGTATAAGTTTGGTCATTAAAGAACAATGGTTGCTATACACATTAAGTACCCACAACATACCATTTATGATATATGTATTTTTATATTTCTTATTTTCATAGAAAATGTGCCTAAAATAAAAAATATGTAATTGTATTTTGTTCATGTTAATTGAAAATATTTGAAAATTTTAACTAAAACTTATTTGTTCCAGGCTCAGAATCTAAACAATTGACATTAATGTACCTGGCCAATGATATTATTCAGAATGGCAAAAAAAAAGGTCCTGAGTATGGGAAAGAGTTTGGCAAAGAACTGGCCAAAGCATTTAAGCAAATATCATTAAACAACTGTTCCTCAAAGACCAGACAGAGTTTGACACGATTGTTGAATATATGGGAAGAAAGAGGTGTTTACAGTAAAATCCAAATAGATGAATTCAAGGATGCTTTTGGTATAACATTTTGATAATATTTAGTAGTCAACTAATAATAACTTAATTTATTGTTTTTAAAATGTTTAGGTAAAGAATCAGCGAAGAAGCCTACAGGTGAACCACCAAGTAAAAAAGTTAAACATTCACATAATCACAAATCAAAGAAGACAAAATCTCAAAACAATGGCATAAAAAAAGATAAAGAAGTTATTGTTGAAGTGGATGGTACCAAAGAATTGCATGTGACTTTATCTCCTAAGACCCCAGTTAATGATCCTCCTGAACCAGAAGAATTAATTAAAGCTCTAAATGTACATAGATAAGTTATTTACTAAAATGGTTTAGAAAAAAAGATTGAAATCAAATGTTTGACACATTGATTAATATATTAATATATTTTTCTGTGTTGTAATCTTATTTTTAGACTTCTAGCTGTATTTTTCTAAGCTATAAATTAAATGTATATTTTTAATTGAATTCACCAAATTCAATAAGACCTAAAAAAGTCTATTTTCTCTGTTCAAAAACAATGATATTAAAACCATACAAATAAAAGTAAACTGATTTGGTATATGGTAAGCACTAATTGGATTAGTTTATACCATTTTATTTTTTTATAATCTATACCAAAAATTGTTATCTACTTGCCTTCTTATTTGTAACATTAAATATATTTTTTATATTTTTAAAAACTCATCATAATAATATTAAATAGTCTATCAAAGAACTTTAACTTGAAATAATATTTGTTAACAAATCATATTTTTCTTCATATTCATTATGATGGAAAGTCAAAATTAAAAAATTTCCTAACATACTACATAGCGTATACATGTTAAGCCTTAACCCATGTTAAATATATGCATATCTTTAAAAGGTGTTTTTTAATGTAACAAATATTTTATTCATAATATTTTCTGGATTTTCAAAATTGTCTGTAGTAATTTGAACTCTTGGTGATTTTTTTTGTTATTGTAGTGTTAGATAATGTTAAACACTTTTTTAATGCAGTTTTAAATTAATTTTAATGATAAATAATAGTTTAATTAAAATGTTATTGTACAAATATTAAACATTGAGCAAACTTATTTATAATAAATTAAATCTTGAGGAAAAAATAGTTAAGTGGTTCGACACTCATCTCAGTTTTAAATTACTGTCATTAAACACTAAACTCTTTTAGTTAGGTTTACTCAAAATTTAAATTATGAAAATAAATAATGTATGCATAACTGTATGCACTTTATGCACATTTTATCAATAATAAAATAACAAAACTTATTTAAAACTTTTTAGTCAAACATTCTACTATAATCATATTAATTTGTTACATCGGAACTTGTTATAATATGCTTAAAAAATGTTAATTTTTTAAAATAATAATATACTTTGTTTTCTAGGATTTAGAAAATGCACCTTCATGTGATGCGGTTGTACGAGAACGTATCTCTAAACTTCCTCCAGAAATTGCTGATGTCAGTTTACTTTCTCAGTTAAAAGGTTACTATTGTTTTGTATTAACCTGTTCAATTCTTTAAATGTGTATTAAAGTAAAAAAAAATAAATATGTAAATTGTTCATTTTCTGTAATATATTGTTGGAATTTATTATGTTTGTTAAAATTTGAATGGATAAGGACAATTTTATTTTTATTTCTGTATGCTACATACTGTGTTAGCATTTCCTTCAGTAATCCAACCATCTTAATAATAATTTTACCCTAGTGTAAATATTGAAATTAAAATGTATTATTAATTGCAATGTTATATACATTGTAGGTGTCCTATAAACATGTATCTTTTGAAAAAAAGTATTGTAGTGGAATGTGCATTATCCCACTGCATTAATTTATTTTTTATTTCTTGGGGAATATTGTTTATTCATTTAGTCATGCCCAAGATGGATGGTAGTCAGTATTTGGTCTCCATTATAATAATTGTAGATGTTTACTATAAAATACTGTTTTGATTCACAAAATGTCTATTCATTCATTCATTGCCATATATTTTTTTACTGTATGTTAATATTTTTAGTAATTAGCATGCATTGTTACTAATGTTTGATTTATGTTTTATGGTATTTAGGTAAAGACGAGGGTGAAGAACTTTTGCGTAAAGTAAATGATGCTGTTGCATTATTGACTGATTACAACACTAGACTGGTGTGTGAAATGGAAGACCGCAAGAAGGTTTTTTCTATGTTGCATGATTTCATTCAATCTCAAAGAGACCTCATTGATCAAGCTGAACAAAGGTTACAGGTGAGTTATAGACTATAGTCATATTTTTTTATTTTTTATCAAAGCAGTTGACAAAATAAATTTTTTTTAATATAGTTCATTAATGAAATTTTTTTTATACTCACATGATTCATAACCCTAGTTAATAATTAATATTATATTATAGACAAAAACGTAATTGAGTATTTCTATAATTTCATCAGTAGGTATTGTTAAAATAATCACAAGTCTAACATACCCCAACACCTTCATGTGTACAATATGTAAATTATATAGTATTTGTCATTACAGTTTTAAACACAAGAATTGAAGCTTCTTAATAAATCTCCACCCGCAGATATAACAACATGATTGTGAGCATTTAAATACACAGCGCGAACACACATTTACATTTTATACATACACGATGCGCTGGGACCGTATCGCTCAGACCAGAGTACCTAAGGAGACTGTCTTGAGTAATATTTGTTGTGGTCTTCCAGGGAGTGGCATATTCGGAAGGGCTTGATCTTTCTAATACAAACATATTATATTTATCACATTTATTTTATCAGTTAGTATGTCTGTAGCGCTAGTCTCTGTCAGTAATAAAATACACAGACCTTATTTACCGTTGGAATTTCCTAATTTCTATAGATGGGATTGGATCTCTTTGAATCATTCCCGTCCCGCTAGTTTTGGTGGTCCCATACGCACTGCGCCTATTGTGTGAACGTGATAACAGACATTATATTGAGGATACAAACGTTTCTGCCCAGTGACCGCTATAATATACGGTCAATGAGTCACACATGTATTGTTCAGCTGTTTCGAATAAGTCCGTACGATTGACCATAATCTCACCCACCTACAATAGTTCTTCTTTGTAAATGTGTGTCGCTACCCCCTAAATTCGAAATCCTACGCATAATGATTGGCTGTATATTTTTTTACTAAAAAGGAAACATACAATATTTGTTTAAGTTGTAAATATAATGATGTGTCAATATACTGAGCTTATCATTATTGTATACTTGTAGTGATGGAATAAAACGAAAGAAGTTATTCCGTATAATGTCTGTATACTTTTAAGAAATGTTATAATGATATAAATATTAAATACATATAAGGAGGTACCTTATCTACAAATGAGAATAAATTACTAATTAGTATAAATATAAATGTTTTTAGAGTAAACGAAAAAATATAATGGATAGATACAAATGAATATGAAGAGTATTCAAATTATTAACTTCTTCTATATCACATTATACACAATTTTTCTAATTACATAATATTATAATTACTTTAGAATAATTATACATTTGTTACCTATATTAATTACTCAGTTTAAAAAAAATTTATTTTCTTTACGACTTTACACGTCTTAATTGGTTACTCTTTTGTGAATTGGAATTTTATTGAAATAATCAAATACAATCATGGAAATTGGAAAGAGTATTTATTTTTATATGTACTTTAAACTTATAAAACGTTAGTAAAACGATTAAAAACGAATCCGTTTAAATTTTAAATCCCTACAGCCGTGACTTAATTGTACACCTAGTCAAATTAATATTGATTTAATTATACCTTCATATATAATAAAAAAATATGATCATAAATCATAATAATTCATTAATCGTACACATAATTCTTTTTTTTTTTGTGATAAAGGAGCAAGATAACCTTGTGATCATAATTTGAATAATTTATAGTTTAATTTAAATAGGTAAAATACCTATACTCAAAATAGATAAAATACCTATATACTCCATAAGCTATAATATTTAAAATTATTATGATTATTGATTAACAATAATATATTTTACGGTACTTACCTATAAGTTATAAGTTATAACTATCAATATTATACACATCATATATTTACTCTTAAGATAAATGTAGGAAATTGCATAAAATGTCGATTTATTTCGTTAGAACTATTAGAGTTTTTTGAAAACTATCAAGTCACCAATATCTACGATAAGATAAATCATCGATAAGACCAAACTTTTGTGGGGTAATATTATATCGAAAACGTGTATTTTAAGGTGGCCTATATAGGCTTTATATACTCAATAAAACCTTTCTATACAATGTTGGTTCACTCTTCTTTTAGTAATAGTCTCGTTTGTTCGATTTGTTTTTCGACAGAAACATGCCGTTTACGAGCTTTCGTCCTGTGATAGCATATTTTTTTGAAGTACCGCAAAAACATAATAATATAATGGTGGCGGAATTCATTGAGACGAATAATCAATAATGATTGGTATTGTTTACGTTTCAGGAATATCAAGGTAAACTTCAGAAAGTTTGCCAAGTACGGCAAGAGGTCAACACGCATCTACAAAATCTACCGGATTTAGCACAATTGCCCAGCGTTAAAGGTGGCCTTGCACCTCTTCCGTCGGCGGGCGATTTGTTCACAGTGGGCTGAAGACTATTGGCTCTAGCTGTATGTCAGCTGGTCGCCATTACTCTGGTCGTTTATGTCGAAGATTACGCATGCTCGTTCTAAGTGTATTGACTATTGAGTAACAATAAAATGTGTTTGAATTTAAAAACGTAACCCCCTGGTTATAATATGTGTATTAGTTAAATTGTATTATGTAAAATAATATGGCATTTGATAATAATTTTCTTATTATTATAATCATTACATGGTTTCAATATTTTTATTAAGTCTATAATAATATTATATTTTAACGTAATGTATTTTACAGTTCTCAAAGTGTATAATAATATGTTACAATTAATATTACATTTGTCATTAAAAAAAAAGAAAGTTTTTACGATGTACCAACAACTCACGTGTATTTTTGTTGAATGCGCTTATAAATAAATGTCCTTCAGACATTACGCTCGTGGGGGGCAGCTATATTATGACGTTTAAATAAACGGGGCGAGAAATACACGTAGGCATGGACAATTTATTCGGAGCAGGTGTGTGTACAAGTATTATATTTGTTTACTATCAATACCCTCGTCGGTCATTCGATAGAGGGGGGGGGTTGAATCCGAATTTTCTCAACCCCCGTAAAATGCGTAGTTGACCCGACTGAAAAGATTGTGATGTGGCGGTGGGCTCTCAATGGAACGAGTACTGTTGTACCGGCGGTCCGCACCATTTGGCGATGAACTCCAACGTCTGTTTTACGGCGGACGACTGAACGGTTTTCGATACGGTCATCACTTTTGTCCAGTCGTCCTTGATAGCCATCCTGCCGTTCTCAAACGTCACCGCGTGACTCTTTTTCGTATCTATCACCGGCCAGCCGGACACGACGCACACGGGATATGTGCCCCCGTCCGGTGCCGATAAGTTCGACGGGTACAGCCTCCTCTGGTCAAACGGCAAACTCTGTGAACAAACAATAGTAACACGTGAAGTCAGGTGTGTGTCATAATAGTTTTTAGGGTTTAAGTTGACTCGGTCTTGAGCCAAGAACAGTTGTGCGGCATCGACCCTGCAGTACTGTGGCGCGTGGAACACTCCCGAAGGATAAAATCTACCACCCGGTCAAAATGTAATGGCCATATTAGTAACCTACCTTCAGAATTTATCTATCCTAATATAGCATTCTATATCGTAATAAAACATTTTCATTCATAAAATATCTTATAAACTATAATATCATTTATCAGAACGCACAACAATATACTTTAAATAATTGGATCAACCGTAAGAATAAGAATACATACTAACGGAATTATAACTGAGGTTTATTCATTATATTAATATTTTGTCCCATTATTATTATTTTATTTTTAAATCGAGTATTACATAATTTATAACTATTCTGATTAACTCAAAAGTGCGCTGTTTTTGCATATTATCTACTTATAAAATATTGTGAGGTTTAGAGCATATTTCACCAACTTGAACGTTGATGTATGTGCAGAATTTAATTCTCAGTCCTGCAGGTTATTATATTATAAGTTACTACGCCGCTCGCCGAGCACCGTCTGTTCTAGTAAACTAATCTTTATACAGTTTATATATTATTATATAGAGTCGACTACGCCGAAAGTGGGACACTCGTTGCAGAATGGAGAGTTAAAACTGTCAACTGCAATGACCGAGGATATAATATACCGTCTAATTCATGTCCGTAGACTTATAATGAATATTTTAAATCAAATTGATGTTATTACAGACATGATTGCAATGAACAAAAAATAGACCCTACTGGAATGTATAATGTAAGAGGCATTTTTTTATTATTTATTTATCGGTTTCCGGATAACGCGTTCTGAACAAAGCTTCAACCAGCCATGTATACCCACTAATTGTTGGCGCCGATTGTAAATTATATGTTCCGTAAAAAATGAATTGCCAATAAGTTGCAGAGTATATACTTATTTAAAACATACCATTATGAATAAATCGACAATGGTAGATAATATTGGTTATAATGTATACGTACAGTGAATTCGGCTTAGAAATATGATAGTATATATCTATAATAATACCATAAATTATATTATTATATGCATGGGTATTATACTAACGTAATTATTATAAACCCCGTTTTTCATTATAAATTAATATCCAGCAATTAACCTCCCTTAATTATAATAACGCACATACCTTCCTTTATCGACTACCTAACTATTTATAGTATAATATTTTGGTAGGTACATAATATTATATTCGTACAGCTACATTCCACACAACTGGATAAGACTATCTATATTGTATTCTTCAATGTTAAACATTGATTTTATTGTCAAGTGTTGTTGACGTTTTTGAAATATTTTTTAGATTCTGAGTGGAACGATGAATATATTGATTTTACAATGATGTGGGTTTTTTATTTTATTTGTGTCTGTGTCTTTACACGATAAGTACCTAGTCGAAATAATGCTTCGATTTTCAACTTCAGTATCTTGTTCGATTGGAAAGGGAATATTGTTGGTGCATTGGGGAGGTCAAAATTTAAAATTCACAGTAATTTTTCAAAAGCTCCAAGAAAAATTAAGCAAAAAAGGGAATTTTCAAGCAAAATCGATTTTTAACAAAATCGAATTTGGTTTTTGGTGTAACTTTAAAACAAATAACTGTAGATACATGCAATTTTCCCTGATTGTTTATATATGCATTTTCTATACACGATAACATTTTAAAAATATTTTGATTTATTTTGAACTGTTTAGGGACATTTTCATTTTGAATTTTTTTTGAATTTTTTTTTCTAAAAATAACAATAAAATTTAATCTGCTGGTTAAAAAAATTTGAAAACTTAATAGAAGGCTTCTATAGTATATTGTTTCAAAGGCAGATGAAAAATATTAAAAATCCTTAGTCACAGTTTTTTTTTTATAATCATTTAAAGTTTAAAAATTTACAAAATATGGAAAAATCACGAAAATTAGCAAATTATTTTGAGTTAAGAATTCGTAAAAAATTTTCTTTTTAAATCTAAGATTTTAAAATGTAATACAAGATTCCTTATAAAATTATCTACCTTAAAAAAAAAGAAAAAAAAATGTCCATAAGAAAGTCATATTACATTTTTATGAGCGTTTGAAATTCAAATTTTTACAACAGGATATTCACTGAATTTCTCATGTAGCAATTTCCTTATTTTGTTGTAATTCAAAAACGAAGAACTGTAGATACATGAAAATTTCACTGAATGCTTATTTTATCAATTCTTAAACTTGATAAAATTTTAAAAATATTTTGACTTGTTTTGAGTTGTTTACGGACAATTTCATAATTCATTTTTTTTTTCTATAAATATCAATAAAATTTTATCTGTTGGGCCAAAAAGTATAAAAATGTAATACAAGGCTATATATTGTTACAATATCAGTTGAAAAATATGAAAAAAACATAGGCATAATTTTTTTTACAAGCATTTAAAGATCGAATTTTGACATAATTTATCAAATTTAAAATTGAATAATTATTTTGTTGTTAAAAATTTATAAAATGTTTAACTTTTGTATCTAAGGATTTAAAATTTAAAACAAGATTCCATGCAAGTAGTTCATTCTGTTCACAAAAAATCTAAAAAATACATAAGCACAGTTTATTTTTATAGTCATTTTAAGTTCAAATTTGGATGAAATTACATAAAAAAAACCTAGAATAACTATTTTAGTTATTTTCTTGTGATTGTATAATATTATTCGTGGGTACTTGAAACTTCTAAAGTACACTATTATATATCTATGATAGTATCAGGGTTTGTTGTTGATGTATTACGCGTTAAAAGTACGTAATGGATATTGTGATATGATTAATTTGTAATTTATTATAGGTACCTATTATAGGTCCATTTTTTTTAATACCATAGATAATAGTATATAATATGTCTTACTTATACCTAGACTGACATACCGTCTCCGCTCAGAATCGTTTTTCTTATACAAATATACAATGCTATTATATCATTGAATTCAAATTTAATACCTTCCATTATAGGTACACTTGTAACCTACTGTACAGCAGAGCACCTTCTTTTTACATACCTAGCTTAAATTTATAAGATTATAAAACATTTGCAAAATATTTTACTGATATTGTATATTTGTATGTATTACAATAATCGCGCTTCGAACAAGGCGTTAATATTATCTATAGTATAAGTATTTAAAGTTTGGTGAGTGGATCAAAATATTTCGGGACACCATTAAGCCACACTGCCACACCTCCCATCGAAACTACAAATATTATATAACTAATTAACTAAGTACCTATATACAAGGCCACCCTCAGAAATTTTCACCGGGGGGGGGGGGGGCTAGGTGTATATTATACACATTTACATAATATACAAACATTGGCAAAAAAAGTTAGTGGGCGGTGACCCCTCCCTCCCCCTCTGTGTGTGCCCTTGTATATATGCTCGGTTTGAAGTATAATCATAATATTTTTATACTAGGTATGCCGTATGTCAGTAAAGGTAGGTATAAAGTTCTCAATCAAAAAATAAATAACATAATTTAATTTAATTTAAATTTATTTTACAAAAACGTGACTTTGTACAAAGTATTAGAAAAAAAATATCTCCTAAAATATTAGGAGGTACCTACTTAATAGTTTTCGATAAGATGACTTAAATGAGTGTTGTTTGCAATGAAATGGGGCGATTTGCGTTTGGACGAATTTTTTAAAAATGCAATGTGTTTGGGCAATTTAGCATAATGCGTTTGGGCGAGTGATTTTAAAACATTGTAATGTGTTTGGGCGATCTTGTTTAATACCCTGGGATGCTGTATTTTATCAATTCATTTTCTCTCTCATTTTGACAGACTTGAGTTGTTCATGAATTCCAAGGGTATACGATTAAAAGTGGATTGGTTTTTTTTTGTGTGTACAAAAATTGAAACTATCGAAAATCAAGTTAAAATATTATTAAAATAAAAATAATATGTAAGTTAAATATAAGTGTGTGTAATTAAAAATTAAAATTATGTGCCATATT